GCTGGCCATGTCCAGTGGCGCTGAACTGTCATGAACGCAGCGAACACGGAACTGATCTACAGCTCGTTTTTATTCTGATCTGCTCATGATCAAAATGTAGTTAAAACATGTGGCATCAACTACAATTCTAAACAAATTATAAAACGAAGCTCTTCACATTAATTTTTTTTTTAATTTGCTTAGTTGGGGGTGGAGTCTAACTGGATCCACTCGGCACGGTGGCCACTGATTGGCCTATTGTAGCCTGCCCCGGCTGATTATGATGGAGAATTTGGTGGAATGAATATCCGTGCAAGATTAATGTACTCAAATTAGTATTTTATACTCCCAGCATTACTCGAATTCCGTGGAAATGATCGACTCTTATTAATAACTTCACATTCCTAAACTTACAGGGCTGCACAATTAGGCATATGTTTTGTCCTGAATTCCTACTTTATTCTGACAGCAGTGGTACTTTATGCGGCTACTGAAAGCGCTTTATAGCCACGAATTTACATATTCCAAGTCTGGTTACAAAATACACACGCAACAAACATAAATCAAACAATTAAAACAATTATTATTAAATTATAAAAGATATTTATATTAGGAACAAATGTAACTGCATTACTCCATATCCAATGATCACATTTTTTATTTATACCTTTCGTGAAAGAAAATGCAGACACAACATTGTGTAACGGCAACAGCGGTACGCAAATGGTATCCCGAGAGGTTAAGTTCATTATCTCTTTTCGTACCTTAAATGCGGATAATGAAATATTGATAACAGAATCTTTCGAAATGGCGTTACCTGCGGATAAGCGTGCAGTAATATTGGAAAAAGTTCACTTTTAATTATAACTCAGGAAGATGAAACCTCCCACTAATTCTCACACTTCTGGAGCGTTCCTCAGAGAATGATGATTGCTATGAATCATTATGAGGATCAGAAAGGCAATGTCCGTTGCCAAAACTGTGTCCTTTACTAGGAGTAAGAAGCATATTTCACCACCATACAAAACACATAATAAAGTTGATATCAGTAACATACCTATCTCGTTACCAGTCCATGCAATTGCGTGTACAGTGCGAACCGTAGGGTGACACAAATCCCTGTTCCTACGAGTTACTTTGGGTGCCGTTAACACTCCGGCTACGAACATCAAATGGAGGTCTCTTTTCGTATGTTTACTATTACGTAGTCATTCTGGATCAGCAACATGTTTGGAACTTCATTTGGCGAGTGCTTTAAGAAACTGATTTATCTTCCATTAAATGATTTATCATTGGACCTTGTAGTGTCATGAATATGTATAGGGCTCGTGTGAGCAATGCTCCAAGCATTTTACATCTCTGCATTAGGAAGCTGGGTGTCCAGCTTTACGCTCCGGCCCCTATGTTCCAAACAGGGGAGACACCGGTATCTAGTCATGGGAGTAAGAAAGCCCCAAAGTCAGTATGTACGTAGCGACAATCACCTCCAGCTATCTTCTGTAGATCTCTCTTGGAACCGGAAGCCAGGTCGTCCAGCCAGTAGCCAGTAACTTCCGGTGACTAAGTGATATCCCGGCTCATATACCGCCTCGCAAATCAACTGAACTTCATTACACAGTCTTTATTTTGCTGAGAGCCAATCGCATTCTTCCATATTTTTCCAAATGCGAACCGGTGTAAGTAAAAAAGTTACACCAGTTACTTATGCAGAGGCAGGGCCGCGCCATAGCTCAAGCGGTTAGTCGCTGGCTTACCACCGCGTCAGCCCGGGTTCAATCCCGGGTCTGGTCAAGTGGGATTTATGGTGGACAAAGTGGCGCTGGGGCAGGTTTTCTCCGAGTACTTCGGTTTCCCCTGCCAATCTTCATTCCACCAATTGCCGCACAATCACCCTCACCTATCATCTGGGGCTGGTACAATAGGCCAGAAGTGGCCGCAGTACAAGGGACTCAGTCCCACCCCACTAGCAATAAAAAAATATATGCAGAGGCAATTCGGAAATTCAGCTTCTGCTTCGTCAGAAGTTCGGAATAGTGAAACAAGCGTTTCCGTCCTTCCCGTATTTTGTTACAAAAGAAAGATTACGATATGAACATAATTTGCATAAATGTCATCTCTCCACATTATCTCAAAATATCCTTCGCTCTTCTAGTGATATTCAGTAAAAACAAAAAGACTCTTCTCAAAAACTGTCGCCTTCACATTCGAACGTGCATGGCTAGGCCTATTTTAAAGCCTTGACACAAATGTTTGTACTCCCCAAGGTTCCTGCAACTTGCCATAAGCATTCACACAAAACAGTCCTGCAACATTAACAGGGTCCCTGCAACCCCTGTGTACTTGAAGGCAGCTGCGGCTGTCAATCTGGTTCTCAAAAGGAGATATTCCCCTCACCAGTGGTGCACCGAGGTTCGCAACAAGCTTCCGGAGTATTCTGCGCCGGTTTCACAATGCAACACTGGGGGAAACTTGCTTTGAAAAAGGTATCTTAGAGACCAGACCAATGGTCTTCAACCTGGGGTATGCATAACCCCGGGGGTTCGCTAAGATATTTTACGGGGTATATGAAATTAAAATTCGTCCCAGAATTGAGGTGCTGGAGTGCCAGAAACAAGCTCATTCATCTCATTAACAGGCCAGAGCCACATTAATAATTGATACAATATTTAATCATATAAATTTGCTTTGCCAAAATACCTTTCTTCCTTTCACAATTTTTATACAAGAGGAAATAATATATTTGTTATTTAATATTGTGATTCTCTTTTATCGCATTTGAAATTTATTATTTAAAACATTATTTTCGATGTAATTTATTCATTATATACCAACAACTCTAGGGGTACAAAGTTGAAGAGAAACTATATCTGGGGGTACGCGAACAGAAAAGTTGAACATCACTCTTCTAGACCATTCGAATATGCTGATTCATAACAGATTTTCCTGCCTTGTCAAAATGGTCTGCTTCAACTGTGTACTGTCCTGGTCAGGTTGTGATAAACATGTGGTAAAGTTAGATGAGACAACAGATACATTTCAGAATATTCTGAGAATGCTAACTTTAAGACAGACGTTCGTATGTCCATACTAACCCAACTTACTCTGATTATACCTTAGGGATACCTCAGTCAGCAGAGCAATGGGCTACTGGCAGGTCGACTGGGGGTTCTATTCCCAGAGGAAACAAGGATTCATCCTGAAGAAAGTCGTCTTCTGGGATCTGGCGCCGTGTATTCTTGGTTTTAACCGACGTTTCGGAGGAACATATCGCCTCTATCTTCAGGGCAGTTGAATTGCGTTGCGAATACAGAGAGCAGTAGCTGCAGCTGATGGAGGCGATATATTCCTCCGAAACGTCGGTTAAAACCAAGAATACACGGCGCCAGATCCCAGAAAACGACTTTCTTCATAGTCATCGCCGTGAAAACCTCACAACTTACAAAGAGTTCATCCTCTTCTATACAATGTCCAGACCGGTTCTGGGGCCCATATTCATTGGTGACCTGGGGCTCTTTTTCTGGGGATAAAGCCTCCATTCCCCCATACGCCTTCAGAGTGGTACGAAACCGTTCTTCAGAACAAAGAGTAAAGGAAAACTAACTATCTTCGCAACATGCACTGCTGCACTACCGTCACTGCGAACAAGATGGCTCAACTGACGTTTCTACATTGTTTTCGGGAGCTACCCGGTCCGGAACACCGTCTCGACAGTTTCTTGTGATAATTAGACCGCAACCGCTTCCTTCCATAACCTTTCCAATTCATCATTCACTTATCCTAACATTAAATAGTATATAGTCTAAAAAACTGACGGTGACGTGAAATAAACCATAATACATACGGTGCGATGTTATACATAGAATGCGACTCCGTGTGAGCTTCGGGGTCGACAATGGAACGAGCAGGTTATTTAGAAACGCCGTACATCCCGGAAGACCGCAACCTTAATACACCGCCCTAAGAACCTCAAATCTTATGCTACATTTATTATATTTACTTTTCTGAATAACGTAAATAATGTCGCCATATTAACCAATCTGATTCAGGCCTAACTTATTTACACGGAGTCAGACCGTTCCACACATCACAAGTGGCATTAGGCCTACCGCTGTATCTCCTCTCGGACACATACACCAGTCGCCGAATATTGTTTACTATCACTAGACCCATCAAACTGCCTCATGTACTGAATCCGCCAATCCTATGGCTGAGTTTCGTTCTTACGTATTTAAGATTACTAAACGTCACAAACAGTCCAACTTAGTCAAAGCATCTGGCCACCGCAATCATGTATAAATACTGCTTGCAGTACAGATCAATGTATATTTTGGGATGCGGATTCTCCTGTTTATTAACTGACCAAAATCCGAATTTTGGACCACAAGAAAAGCAGCGCTTCGTCAGTAATGCAACAATTGCGAAAATCAACACAAAAGGTACGCTTGAACGTGTAACTTTTAGACTCCTTATATCATACTGTGCTTGTTATTGGCACCTCCATTAATGACGTCACTATAAGCATCGCTGTTTAAGCGGGTAATCCATCCTGTGAAACAGCCATACAGAAGCTACCACTGACGGCGACACATTTGCGTTTTAGTTACTACATGAAATCTAAACTGATGATCTTTTTTGTAATACTGTGCAATTATAATGCCGCGTAAATTCAGAAGGGACATTCTACTCTTCGGCGTTGGACCATATGAAGAATCGACCCTTCTCTGAAACTGTTACCCCAGTACAGCATGGTGGTTATTATATATACCATCCGCTTAATATTAAAAATGTTTGCATTTTCAGTAAAATATAGTTCTGTGCTTCGTACGGTTCTCGAAACCCACGTCTGTCCAGCCAGCGTGACGGGTAGGTCAATGCATAAGGCGTAAACTCTACGTCGATCAGTTACAGAGCTCTAGCCTACTGCTTCCATATTCGTCATAATTTTCTAAAATTGTCACTGGTATTTTGAATTGCATGGAACCGTTCCAGCTAATCTGGACACCGAATTCCAGAAACGTCACCTTCTGTAATAGTAATTCCATTATCGTGCGCTCATAGCTCAGGCATCTCGGATAGTCTCCAACCAAGTTTTCTTCCCCAGGCGTGCTATTTGTTCCGCCCATACCAGACTCCTTGAATGTACAGCTACGTACATCGGTACCAAGAAGTGAATTTAAACTGCTACGTTTCCCGGGGTGTAACTTCCTCCATTTTCCTGTTCGTACAAAATATACACATTCTTCTAAGTAAATACTCTATTCAAATACCTTCAACCTATATTGTTTCCCTCAAACTCGGCACACGAAGTTCCATGCCCGCAAAATACAACCAATAAAGAAACTCCACGATTCTCCAGTAATTTACAGAGCAGATTGCATTCCGAACTGAGCAACAGATTATTAATAACTGCTGAGTTTAACTTGATCGTAATTCGATCAGGAATGATATTTAAATGTCTGGTGCCACTCCTACGATGAAACTAAAGTAGTTCGTCCTTTTCATTCCCAGATGTAAATCAAACGGTTGCTCTGTCGTCTATGGCACTGCGTAACATGTAATTAGGGTTTAGATGGCTCATACAGGGAACACTGTGTGGTGTGACAGCGTATCTCACAAAATAGAATAAAATGGCCGGCGTCTCCAGCAAAGAATCTGTATTCCCTGAAGGGATGTATCAAAACATTTAAACTGGATCTAAGCTTACCTTTGCCCCGATCTGGTTGCCGCACTGGCCTGCCTGCAGATGTACTATCTCCCTCATGCTTCCTTGAAAACGTCGCTGGCAAATATGGAAGACGGAACAGAACACCCTACACGTGTAAGCAACAAACAGAAATTAGATACAAGTAGCAAAGCCTTCCAGCAGCCAGGACGTCTAGGCGCAGTTTGAAGTTTCACCCTTCCTGCTTGGCTGGCAAGACCGGCAAGACGGGCAAGACAAACTCCCCTCCTCCTGCCCTCCCCCCCTCTCCGTATAAAGCAACCCAATACGTCACAAAACTGAGCAGAACAAATGTCTTAGGAAGAAGATGTGTGGACAACTATCGCTCCAGGAAGTGTAAAAAATGCGTAAAGAATAAAAAGTATACCAGCATGCATAGTTTCCGCGTCTCGTCTCGGTTCAACACCCTGAATTTCCAAGGAGGACCGTCAAGTTTGTATGATATTCATATTATTGTATTCTGTGTTGTAACATCGTATAGCCATGTATGTGGATATAAAAGTTTCGGAGGAACTTTCTGCCTCCGTCTTCAGTTTCAAAATCAGTATGGTAAAGATTCAGGTTATATGGGCAGCTGCAAAGACGAACGTCACTCAGACAAAACCTAACCACATCACAACATCCGCTTCCACCCCGAAGGTGGAAGCAGCAAGGCTCTCAGAAACGCTGGTATCCACGTACAAAACTGCACGGTGTCACAATCCAGTACACCACATTCTAAGCAATAACTGCAGTAAGAACCTCAAAACTCCTTTTATTCAATAAATCAATTAATATATTTTAATCAATTCATTTATTTATTTGGAAAACCCAAGCGGTACAGCAGCTGGCTCAGGATGGACTTCCGCGATTTGATTGCCAACAGAAGCAACTCTTCACCACTGTGTCTCGAAGATTCCTGGGTCCAACCCAGACACCAATGCAGTGGATACCGACACATCTGTCCTCAGCGGTTAAGGGACCGGCACGAGATGGAGGTGAGTGTTCAAACCTACGCCCGGGCAGTTTACTCCGGAGCTAGTGGCGAAGAGAAAAATCTACTGCTGACAATCCAACCTGTGCTTGTCACTGCACTGACTGAGCTATCCAGGCTCCAGCATATCCATAGCTTATCAGCAACAAAGGACAAGACCAATGAGTGGCGCAAGATCCCAAAGAATTCCTCTGGAAACTCTTTGCATTGAAGCTGGGGCTGTTCTCCACTTTTGTCTTGGAGAGCCTACTTCGGTACGAGAACCACGGAGTCGTGTCCCGTCACTAGATCCCCGTTAACTAAGCTTCAGATTGTTTCGGAAGAAACTCCTTTTGAAGCCAGATTGGATGAGAGCCAGATCACATTGAAGCTGGAGTTTAGTCTGAGGCGAAACTAGAGGCAGACAAATTGGGAAAAACCGTGACACAAGATAGAACGGGAGCGCCAGTGCAATTAAGTGCTTGAACAAGTATACCGAAGCAGACAAACTGTCAACAAGATTAAAGTACTTTTACTCATTCACGAACAATCCAGGGACCTCACTCCTCACTCTTGATGCCCTTGACTACCCACAATCTGATCATATTTTGTGATTTTAATCCGCAAGCGAACTATACCGACCGAGCGATCGCCGCTTGTCGGCGAAGTAAGTGCCAACTTTTGCGGGTAGAAGGTGTCGCATGATCAGCGCAACGAATCCCCACGGCCGTTAATTTAGGGTTTCTAGACCGGAGCCGGTATTTCCTTGAAACAGCTCCTCAATTATCATCACGAGGCTGAGTGGACCCCGTTCCAGACCCACTACTTCTCAAAAAAAAGAATAATAATAATAAATAAATGGTAGCCCCGGGAAATGAACCCGGACCTCGGGATCTGTAACCAGGAACTCTGACCACTAGACCACAGAGGCGGTATGAACTTGTATAAAGTAAACGTAAAAGCAGAGTGAAATTTCCTCTGTGCATAATTAGCGCTTCGCCAAGGAAACGTTTGGGGCGGTGCAGGTATAGCTCTACCATTCTTGACCTCAGCATTAGATGGACGTTAGTGATCACCTTCACGCCCGGTACCCACTGGATAGGAGCCGATCAAGACACCGTGGATTAGAGAAAAATGTCTTTCCCCTGCCGGAACAGGAACCCCGGCCGTCCGGCTCGTAGCCCATTGCTATTCCTATTAATAAATACGCAACAGAAATGCACTTCCATAGCCCAGTGAATGAAGTAGAAAAGTTTAAGAAATTTCGCTGATAAAGCTATTTCTCGCTTTTATGGAACCCGAAGTTTCTCTGCCGTCTTCAAACAGCCTGTACTGGACTCAGTCTTAGGCCAGTTGAATCCATGCCACACCCTCACATTATGCGCGTAATCCTTTGGAATTCAGTCTAATATTATCCTTATATGTATACCTAAGCGGTTACATTCTAATTGGCCCCTACTATCAGACTTGTCTCGCTTGAGTGACTCTACCAGTAGCCATGAAGCCATTTCTACACAGACAACTTCCTATGCCTCAAGCTACACCCACTAACTAAATCCATGGAGTTGAGTCCTTCTTGAGTAGCCGCCAGTCGCTCAACTACATAAGAATCTTCCAACATTTTATGGAACTCGAAGGTTCATTACCATGTTTACAAGAGCCCTGCACTAGTTCCTATCCTGAGGCACACTAATCCGGTCCAAACCACCCCATCCTATTTCTCTAACATTCATTTTAATGTTATCCTCCCACCTACGTCTATGTTTTCCTACTAGTCTCTTTCCTTCCGACTTTCCCACCAAAACCCTATACGCATTCCTCTTCTCCCCGTGCGTGTTACATTCCCTGTCCATCTCAGCTTCTTTGACTTAATCATTCTAATTTTATGTGGGAAAGAGTACAAGTTGCGAAGCTCATCATTATGCAGTTTTCTTCAACCACCTATCATCTCATCCCTCTTCGATCCAAATATTCTTCTCAGCACCCTATCTCAAATACCTTCTTCCCTTAATGTCAGAGACCAAGTTTCGCACCCATACAAAACTAAAGGCAAAATTATAAGTAGATACTATAGGTTTCTGAGGATGGTGCAAAACACACAGATACACTGGGTTTTCGGACTAATGTCCATCCGGAATCCGGACGATGGACAAAGTCCGAAAACCCAGCATCTCTGTGTGTAAAGGCAAAATTATAGTTTTGCACATTCTACTTTTCCCGTTTTCAGACAGCAGGCGAAATGAAGTGAATTGTAGCAAACATTACACGAATTCATTCTACTTTTAATTTCCTCAGGAATCTTTTTTTTTTTACTGTCGTTCCAAAATATTTGAGCTTTGTCATATATTCAGAGGATCTATTACCTATCTTTATGTTATGATTTTGCTCTGCATCCTGGTGACGAGTTTTCAGCATACACTTTTTTTTCTCTCTGTGTGTATGAAGCTAAACCCACTGCTTGAAAGAAAGTTTCTGTTGTCGATGAAGAAGCGGTGGATGGCATGAAAGCCCCGCCAGCATCATACGATCCACAGAGCTTCCGAGAACGACATCTAACTGAGCAAATAAACTCACTGACTTAGTGCGCGATGTAAATTTGTCGGAACAACAAGTAGAACTTCCCCGATCAAGGCTTTTTTGCTGAAGGTGCGAGGATTTCCGTGATTGGAGACTTTTTAGACATCTCTAATATGTTGGTTATATGACAGTGTAAACCATCAAGCAATGCGAACATCACAAACAACCAAATAAATAAAATTATTTTTGGTGGTAACGTTTTCCCCATCTGCATCAGAAGTAATGGGTTGAAGATTACTGTCTTCCAAAACGTGACTCCGTTTAGTCCTGTAAATCGTTACCAGTGTCTAGGAGGAAGGTGATGAATCCATCTTCAGGGCAAAAATCTCACAGATGTAATTGTTTGTTTGTTCCTTTCTTTCTTTCTTTCTCTAGTTCTATTGTATGCACTTTTCTTTCTTTCTTTTCCTTCTTATCTTCTTCCCTCCTTTCCTTCTTTCACGGTGTCACTGCGGCTCTCTAATGGACTAAAAATGTGAAGTTCTGCACGAAGACAGATCAGTTGTCAGCATTCCGTCTCTGGTCTTGTCTTGTTTCACTAACCCTTCAAGTGAGAAGTGTTAATGAATGCATCATTACAGCCCAGCCAATAGCTCTGCCGTCTCGGTGAATGCATCCTGTTGCCCTTCAAACAATATCCAGTGCATTGAGTGCACCCGAGAGTGACGTGTGTAGCGGGGCCACTCACCGGTCTCCTCAGCCGATTTCAAACTTCAGTCAATTATACTCATTCTCTGTAACAGGCACCGTTAGCGCTGAAATGTTTCACTGGACACGGTCCAGAGCCAGTTCAACCAAGTTCACACCCTCACAACATATTTCCGTAAACCCTATTTTAATGATATCTTCACACTCTTCAAAATGACCACTCTCCTAGAGTTATACCAGCAAAATAACCTACTTATCTCTTGTCTACTTCTTCCAACCCATCACATTCTTTGATTTCACTCCACTAGGTGAACTGCATACGTACGTCACGAAATTCCTGGTCATCAGTCGGGGTCAATTATAATCCGGAGGCACAATCTTAACAACATGAATATTGCACTTTTAGTGATAAACTGACAATTTACTGGGAAATGAATGTTGGTTCCCTTAAGACTGACTGAATGATGGATGGATAGTGGGATAGATAGACTGCTCGGTCGGTTGGTAGGTTAGTGGGTCTGAAATCAAATTTTATTCTTATGAATTTGTCACCCTGTTGGGTCCCTCGGTAGAGCTACCAAGGTGCCCAGGTTAGGAGAGTAGCTGCACCAAAAGCCCCAATCGGATAGCCAGCAGACGGCAATTAACCCCATTTCTGAAACGTTGTTGAACTAACGCCATGGAGCCCAGTCCTTCTTGAGAAGCCAGCAGTCGTCCTACCGATCAATGTACTTCAAACATTTTCTGGAACCTGAAATTTCATTGTCATATTGACAAGAGCCCGCCACTGGTCTCTATCCTTAGCCAGATGAATCCAGTTCATACCCCTATTCTACTACTCTAAAGTCCATTTCAAAA